CCACTGACACCACCTGCTTTATTTGTAATCAAGATTTCTTTTTAGAGCAATTAAGCACAGGATGTAGTAAGGAACATTCAAGGGTGACTTAGCCCCATTCTTGGTTTCAAGAATAGGGCCTGCTTCACTGCTGCAGAAGACCAGGCAGGAAGCACCCCGCAGAGTTTTCCTGGAAATTCAGTTCGAAAGTTGACCGGCGGCATCCTTTGATAAAGTTACACTTGACAGGTTTTGAACCCCATAAGTCAAAAGTGGGAAGGCCAGCAACCCACGCTACTGGTATAATTTTTAAAGCAGCTGTCAAAAACGACGTTAAGACTTTTAAGGTTCAAAGTCCCGAACTAAAGCTAGGTGACTGGAGCAGTGAGAATTATGGTTAACTTCCTAAATTCGAATTGTTCCAATCAGCCGTAATTAGGATAGTAACTTGGAGGCGGAGTTGCAGCTGTGAAGATTTCTTGCTTCATAGCAGAGTCAGTCTGCTAAAGGGGTCTCTGAACAACTCACCAAGGGTACAGCCGAAAAATTAGCATCACTGGCAGTTGGGTTTAGAAGTCAAAGTTAAAACAGAATTATGTTTAAGTGTGTTACGGAAACAATCTCTGAATAACTCTGCAAAATTAAGTAGACGCCAAAAATTAGTGTGAATCTTAATTTGGCTTAAAAGTTTAAGTGAAAGTGTAATCACTTCTAAGTGTTGTGCTAAAAAAAGCAGTCGCTGAATAACTAGCCAGGGATCCGGTCGCAGAAGTTTGAGGGATTCCAAGTTGGTTTAAGGGATTAAGGACAAGTGCAGTTACATGTATATCAAGATCTGCTCAAACAGTGTGTGGTAGTGCCTAGCTATAAACACTCTTATCTTTCCCGTTAACGCGAGGTCCGTATTCACCCTGAGACAGGATCTCATCGCTCTAGTGCGAATGCAGTACCCTATCACCTGTAGTTTCCGGTTCATCCCCCCTTTTCCCTGATAAGTAAGCCTTTACAGTAAGATTGTAACGTGGATGGTCAGAAGGTTGTTAAGTAACGCACCGCTGAAGACCCAGCGTATGAATTCACAAGGCAACAGTAGAAGAATCGCCGTTTCTATGGAACGACCTGTAAACAACCTTGAGTTGAGTGCGCTACAGCAATAGGAGTCAAGCACGTAAGATGTTTTCTATGTTGTCTGTGTGAAGCTTATATAACGAGTATCTGATATAGCTTAGACTAGACTGAGAGTCTAGTGCAGAGTGCAGTGTGCCTCTAATTCTGTTGTTGCCTTGTTCAGTTCAGTTCAGTGCAGTTCAGTAGGTGTAAGCTAAAGAATTCGAGGATTCGTCAGGAAGACGTTCTTCAAGGCAGTTCAGCAGTTGATGTATTAACCTTGGGAGTGTTATAACTGTGTGTGACATAGACACAGCAGTCGTGAAAGTGTAATAACGAATTGTAGTTGACGTGTGAAATTATCCAACAAATAGATTTATCAGATCCGGAACTCATTATTTACTGTCGCGTTACCAGGAAACACGTGACAGTATGTATCTATGTGTACTGTTGTCTATCTGTCTGTCTGTCTGTCTTCGTCCACCCACCCATCAACGCATCCATCCATTTCAAGACAGTTCCTGCCTTGGCCCGCGCGGCCACTGTGATCGGCTCTATTTCCATATACTCCGTGGCTTGAGTCCGCAAGCGAACTACACCAGCCGAGCGACCGCCGCTTGTCGGCGAAGTTAGTACCAACTTTAGCGGATAGAGGGTCTCTCGTGGTCAGCGCAACAAATCCTCACGGACGTTAATTTCTGTTTTCAAGACCGGAGCAGGTATTTCCTTGAAATAACTCCTTAATTATCCTGAGTGAACCCCGTTCCAGACCCACTACTTCTCAGAAAACCTGGTAGCGCCGGGAATCGAACCCGGACCTCTGGATCTGCGGGCAGGAACTGTAACCACTAGACCACAGAGACGGTCTCTATTTCCATATAACTATTTAAATTTTTTATTAATTACTTCACTGCATTTTTAACATTACCGAAGAGTCACTTTGAAGGAAAGATTATATTATTTTAACGAGAAGTTTTTAGGTTTAAGAAGAAATGTTTCTTAAGGGTTACTTAGGCTTAATCTGTGAAAGGTGCTACTAAGTGTAGACAGATATTTGCCCCTCAGGCTGACGCCCGACACATCAGTATGTCTGCCACGCGCGTTTGTTTGTCGTGAAGTATCGCTTACGCTCAATTTGAAAGTAAGAACTGTCTGGGCTATTTCCGATTTTATTGAACACACTCATAAATTCTGCAAGACTTAAATTGCATTTCTTTGGTTTTACTTACAACCAGACCAAATGTCGGTACTTCGCAAGACGCAGAATGATTATAAAATAAATTGAAACTCCTTTGTTTCATGTCTTAAAGTTTACTTTCTTTTGTGGTTGTAAATAGCTGGACAGAATTATCGAAAGGGAACAGTTCGGGGAGATGCTGACTGAATTCGTCTGGCTCAGGACCGGGACAGTCTTAGGCATTTGGAAAAAATATTGAACTTTATGGTTCAGAGAATTCAGAAATTTCTTAAAGAATTTAGCTGCTGCCGGCTTGCAGAAATATATTAAGGCCTATGTTATTAGTGTTAACTACGTCATATCGAGTTTCGTCCATATCGGTCCAATATTTCGGACACCTTTAACTCAGCATTAGGTGCAAAACGTAACGCTGAGAAGACCCCACGTAAAATGACAACCCAGACAGCTTCACTTTTCTGTATATGTACGCGTATAATATCACTTTGTGATGATAACGCATTATATATGGGAAGTAGCAAGGAGTATGTACTGGTGCAACGCGCCTCCATGCAGTCATCACATTAACACTGCACGGAGAAAAGTAGTCATATTCTCGCCTCGGAAGTTTGTCTCTGGGGAGGGTTCGCCGTACGCATTGCATAGATGGGATCCAGGTCCTGCCTGGACGATGCGGAGACAAGTCTCTGCTCCTGGAGTGAATGGAATCCCTAACCTATATATTCGCCCAGCCTGTGTTCTAGAAGTTTAATTCAGTTTCTTGGGATGTGGTGAGACTTAGTCCACTTGGTACATCGGCCACTAATTGGTCTATTTTACCAGCCCCGAATGTGGAGCAGTCGGTGGAATGAGAATCGGCGTAGGAAACTGAAGTACTCGAAGAATACCTGCCCTAGTGCCGCTTTATTCACCACAAATCCCACACGATCTGATCTGGTCTCGAACTAAGGCTGCCGCTGTTGGAAGCCTATGACTAACCGCCTGAGCTATGGCACGGTCCTGTATCCTAGTAACTGTACTGACTAAATGTAGCAGTTCTTGAGAGATATGCTTTGCGTTAGTTCGTAAGAAAGAACGTATTTGCTTCCAGAACCTCAAGCGAATAAATTTATAATATCTTCCCGTTAGTTCATTCCCGAAAGCTGGTCAATAAAGGTCAAAATTTACCACGTAGCTTACGCTCTCCGACAGGTCTTATCGCCTTGACCAGCAGTTTCCAGTTATTCACGGCTTACAAAAGGCGCTGCTGCTGTTTCTTTTGGCTCAAATGCAGGCTGGGTTCTGACACGGGGAACGAAAATGCAAACAACACAATAAAGGTCACGAGCAACACAGTAAAGTCCAAGAAGCTGGTTATGACTTGCATTCGGGAGTTATCCGTTCATATTTATCCCCGGGGCACAGACTTGTGGGATTTCCAGTGGGGCTCATCAGCCTCTCGAGGAAAACGCTCGCATTACTTGTACAACTTAAATTACCCATACACCGTTTATTTCCACATTCATTCTAATTAATTAATTAATTAATTATCAAATCATTCGATGCTACATAGCCTGACTTATTGTTGAAATAAACTAAAATTATTTATAAATATGGCACAAGAAGGCGCTTATTCCTTATGGGAGTAGATTGATAACTCATGAAAAAATAGGTACACGGTATATGCACATCGTTGTGTTCAGAGAATTAGCTCAGTAATTAGTATCGTATGCAATGTCTGCAACACTCGAATTCAAGTACATGTGTAGATAATTTTATTATTTGATCTAATGGCCACTCACGCTGAGAGAACACACACTGATGGTTCAATTTGAGTGTCTCATGGCGGTGAGTGTGACGAGTACTCTGTACTCAGACGTTACGACATTTAGTCTGATAGCAATTTAACAACTTTTCAGAGGTTTATGACGGACGGCTTGACCACACAAGCTGAAGAATCTTCATGTTAAGATTCGTTACCAGGAAACGTCTAATGAAAACATGGCACAGGAATAGCCATTGTTGAGAGCTGTTACCAAACAACTACTAGTGAAAGTAGACTGAAAGACTTTGGGTGAGTTCTAGGGATCTGTGAAACGTGGACATTTGCAGTGACGCCGTAATTTCTTGTAGTTCCGAGTGACGTACATGAGTACTTTGAACGTATAACTTATCCATACATAGCCTGTGGTGACGGAGAGCGAGATAATATTGTTACATGTACACCCGTTGCTAGACGACCTTCCGGTTTTTAACATAGTGCCTCAACCAACCACGCTACCGAGTACCCCATAAAGCCATGTGGTCCACTGAAGGTTAACCGCAGTTTCTACAATATCCCACAGCTGTTAGAGCAGAGTCTCAATAGAAAATGCAAAACATTCTTTAGTATGAACATTACTGTCTTGTGGCGTATGACGTCTTGTCTGGTAAAACTAACAACGATTCGGAGAAACCTTTTAGCTCAGTCTTTTACCCTCAATATGGAGGCTGCAGATTCCTTCAAAACGTAGGTACATTTCCACCAGAATACGTGTCGTAACGTCCTAGAATGAGACTAAACTTCACATTCACCGCTGTCATAACCTCAAATCTCACTTATATTCAGCAGTTTTAGAATTACGTGTACATGAAATGAGGATACACGGAAACCCCATCCCCTCAAGTATTTAAGTTTCCTTCTGTGAAAGATGCTAAGTGAGAAATGACCATAAGACTTGAGTGCAATACTTCAACTTACCTTGTAACCTCACGCTTCCCTCCACTTTACCCAGTGCATTCACAGAGGCACACACGTAAGTCCCAAAATCGTGTTTCTGCACGTTGAGGATCTTGAGGTTCATATGCAACGAATAATCGTTGATCGGCACTTCTTTTATCTCATATTTACCGCTCTCCATCAATTTCTCGCCTGAAAATAATTAAAAAATATATTTAAACACTAATAATTAATCATTAAGATCTCTAACACAACTAATTTATTTTTGAAAACATGTTAACAAGATTCATATGTCTAGACATCTGTCCATATACCTTTCTCAGAAGAACGAGGAGATAAGAGGATAATATTAAAACCGATTTTAGGATATATGTTATGAAGGAAATACATGTCTTTGCGCTCTCTACAAAGTTTTTCTTAAATGTTATTTTAAAGTAATTTCTTTAGTTTAGCATATTTAAAATTTGCCATGTACACGTACTACCATACATCTGACACATTATAACGTAAACTCTTATGCAAGAGTTTCAGAAGATGGCGCCCCTGATATGAAAGCTCAATTTCTGATATTATCCTGAACTGAATCCGTCCACCTCCCACCCTAGCAACGTGTTTCCCTAATAACCGTCTTCTTGTTATCCTTTTGTCTCCTAGCTTTCCCAAACAGCTACTTTTCAGGAGGTTTCATCTCCGAAATCCCCATATTGGGTGGCCTATGTTCATCACACACTTCGTCCTTATTTAAAGTTCTCTGACCAGTGTTTAGTTCCTGAAATATTTCCTGAACATATTAATCATTTCATTAATTTATAGTATCTTCAGCGTCCCTCTCAGTAACTGAGGTACATGAGGTCGAATTCATGTGATTATGAATGAATAATGAATTTGATATGATGTGGAAGGAAGTGTAGTGTGATCTAGTGTACTGTCACGTGTATTACTGACTATAGACGGGGTTTGGGATGGTGAATATATTTATTGACCATTAAGAAGAACTGAGCCCTTCTTGAGAAGACGTCAATTGGGAAGCTACTCAAGAAGCTCCCAGCATTTCATGGAACCCAAAGGTTCGTCACCGTGCTCACAAGAGTCTCCAGCGGTCTGTATCCTGAGTCAGATCAATCCAAGCCATACCATCTTATCCCTCTGAGATCCATTTTAATATTGTCCACCCACCCACGCCTTGGTCTTCCCAGTGGTCTCTTTCTTTCCGGCTTTCCCACCCATATCCTATATGCAATTCTCATCTCCCCCATCAGTGCTACATGCCCTGCCCACCTCATTCTCCCTGACTTGATTATTCTAATTATACTTGGAGAAGAGTATAAGTTATGAAGCTCCTAATTATGCAGTTTTCTCCAACCTCCTGTCACTTCATCTCTCTTCGGGGCCAAATATTCTCCTGAGCACCCTCTTCTCAAATACCCTCAGTCTATGTTCCTCCCCTAATATCAGAGACCAAGTTTCACACCCATACAAAACTACAGGCAAAATTATAGTTTTTTATATTTTAATTTTTATGTTTTTGACAGCAGACGAGAAAACAAAAGGTTCTGGACTGAATGGTAGCAAGAATTAAACAAGTTCAATCTTCTCATGGTTCAGTTTTTGATCTGTTGTCGCCGTTCCCATATATCTGAACTGTGCCACATTTCCAAAACATGTGTTTCCTATCTTTGTCACGATTTTCCCCTGCATTTCGTTGACGAGACAGCAACATATACTCGTACTTAGTTTTCTTTGTGTTTACTTCTAGACCAATCTCCTTACTTGCGTCAATAACAGTTTGTGTTTTTTCCTTTATGGTGTCTATATTATCACCCAGTAGATTCACATCATCGGCGTAGACCAACAACCCACTTACAGGTAGTAACTACAAATGTTTATTACACTACTGCTGATTTCCGCACTACAAATCACTCTACACTAAGTCCTCTCAATCTGTTTTCACTAGTCTTTACGTGGTAACAGCTCTCCACAATGTCTGTTCATCTGCCGTGTCTTCACTAGATGTTTTCTGGTAAACAATTTTAGCAGTGGGGATTCTTTAGCTTCCGCTGTCCGCTGAACACTCAACTCTCAGCTGCTTTTAGCGTCGACTGTCTTCAAGAGAACTCCTCGCCACGGACCCCACGCAAAACACCGTGATCTTTTGTCAAGAATACGAATCTATTGCTCCGCTACCTAGCAATGCTTATCTGCGAACGACATAGAGAGCACTCTTGCGACGCTAGTCCTATTGTTGCGTGCGCGTAATTCGAGCGTAGCCTAGAAATGTGTCGACATGTCACAGCACTGCGCCGGAATTTCCATGGCGGGACAGATTAAATCCATGAGGGAATTTAAGTAAAGAATGTCGGTTATTGGTCCAAGATTTGAACATGATATTTCCCCGGTAGGAAAAAGAAGGTTTTGTCACTTGGTCGTAAAGCTCGATTACTATAAAATTTTAGTAATTTTTGTCCCTTCTCACGTTTTAAAGCAACAGGATTTTAAAGGCGCGTTCTAAACCGCGATTAATTCTTTTCCGTACTTTTTAGAATTATATGATAAAATAAATATTTAGCGTAGCAGTTAAAGAATTGGGGCAAGACATATCCGGAATATGAACTATAGAATGTGTAGCCCGCTCACTGGCTAGTTCGCCTGCAGCATCCTGTCTGGCTTCCCAGGGAGTATACAGTGGCACTACAGTGTATGCAGGGTTATATGTGGACCGTCCGTTAAGGTTTGAGGCTTACCGGATGCACACGAACAGGTGGGACTTAGACCCTTTAAAGCTCACAGTGTAGCAGTCATGCCAGGGATTTCCAGGGGATTCACATCGCCACTGCTGTGACGTCCAGTACTGGTAACTTCCTCCGTGAAATGTCACTAGACTGCAGCTCCATGAATCCCAATTTATTCCTTGGTAGTTATCACATAAAATAAGTACAAGTATCCCTGTAACAGGCCGTGAAGGCTCATAGGGTTGTGAGGTGTTAAGGCTCCCACATTTTCTCTAGACAGTCCGCTCACAGATGGCGGTGAGGTTGTCAGCCTTACGCGCCGGCCGCTCTTTACCCCCAGGAATATTCTTGGTACCCATTTCTGCCAGAGACTGAGTCGACCCCAAAGCCATAGTGCGACTCGAAGGATCAGGTAAATTGAAAAATCCACCTCGTTTGGATTCGATCCCGCAATTTTCCTACTTGTAGTATTGTGCCTCAACCAACTACTTTACCGCTTGCCCCATGTTATTACGTGACTCCACGAATTAGCAATATGTTCCTTGATGAAGATCGAAGTTGTGGAGAAACAATGACCCGCAAGTTTATAATTCGCCGTGGTTTTGAGTATGGTACTCGAGAATGATATCAAATACTAGGCAGCACTCGTAGTTGCTATGTTTAATGCAGGGAATAGGGGAATCCCAGTAACTCAGATCCACGAAGCACATGTTATGTCCTAGAAGAACTGCAATAGGTAAAATCATCCCTGTTCTCACGGACCGAGCCTTTAAGACGTATGAGCGAATATATGTGTAGATAAGTTTAATTTTACAATCATGCTCAGAAAAATAACCGATGGTACGGATTGGAAAGCGAGTTGTATTTTGACGCGATGTTGAGAAAAAACCGTGTCTCTGCAAGGAATGAATCCACGGCCCTGCAGTTTATATCCAGGCGCTTTGCAGCTCGCGCTGTTTTCCCGCATTTAGAAGGAATTCTCTTAGCTTGTCCAAAGTACGTGTATTTGCTTCAACCAATAGGTTGAATTAGAAAATCTGAATATATGAGGTTTCAGAAGGGGGGGTGGTCGTGACCTGAGAACCCGCGAGATACGCAGATACTAAAGAAATTCCAAATATTTTATGGAACCGAAAGTTCATTACTGTGTTCACAAGAGCCCTCCAATTGTCTCTATCTGAAGCCAGATCATTCCAGTCCATAACATCCTATCCTATCTCTGTCAGGTCCAATTTAATATTGTCCGCCCACCTAAGTCTTGATCTTCTAGTAATCTCTTTTTTCTGGTTTTCCCGCCAAAAGCGGTTAAAGAAATCAACTTAATTAGTCAATAGTAAGTGAACAAATATTTGTCACCGTGTTTACCTAAATCTGTGTAAAACTTTCAAACGTTTCCAGTTATTTTTTTTTCGTAATATCTGTATTTTGTTTCATGAATAATTTGTGAAAGGTTGGATGATCTTCATCCAAAGAATCCGAAAAACACGACTTTTCGGGAAACTGTTCTGATATCGCCATTGCATGATTACAATTGAAATGCCAGAATTTTGTTTATTTTTTATTCTAGGATAACAGGCGACAGCTTAGACATAAACCCATCCTGATTGTTCTCATCTCCTAGTTTCGAAAGCGGCCTTTTCCTAAATCCTTTCCATGCGTACCACATGTCCTGCCCATCCACTTCTATTTACTTTCCTCACCATAATAATATCTGGCGTAGGGTGGAACTTATGAAGCTCTTCCTTATGTAATTTTCTGCAGCCTACTGTTACTTCTTTCTTAGGTGCTAATATTCCGCTCTGCTTTCTCTTCTTTAACGCCCTCAGTCCCAGCAGAACCGAATGACTGACAGCGGAATCACGTGTCATGGTACGGCACGAAATGTTGCTAATTTGGCAACCCTGTAAAGACTGCATTTCTTATAATACGCAGTATATAAACATTAATTTCATACGTATAAAAGAAATATTGTGACATGACGCCTGAAAGCCGGAGTGGTTCGAGACACGGAAGAATACACGTTCCAGCGGTAACGAATAGAAGCTGAATAGTCGATTGCTAGACAACGGTTCGATAAACACGTTTCGTAGCAAAGAATGAAATAGATAATAACAGACGAAATGTTCGAAGTGGTCTCTCTTCGGTTTACCCGGCGTTATAAATGTGAGTTTCCCCGTGTGGAGGCGGGTTCGAATACCTCTACCGTAGCCCTGCTATTCGTAGGAGGTGTTGAAAATGGAACACAGTGCCTGGGGGTATAACTGGGACACCCTGTTCCTGTGGGATATAAATAAGGGGACCTGGCCCACCAGTTTGGTGAGTTTTAAACTGAGAGGGTAAAATACTGTCACGAGTCCTGCGGAACTCGGACTAGAGAATGACGCGCTGGCGAGGACCAGCAGCAGCTTTAAACGGCAAACGCGTTCTCTAGTCAGAACGCTCCACATCAGTAAACCCGCAACT